GTTCAATGTCGTAAGGCTGGTCTGCATAAAACAGCATTGCTGAACATCTGAGATTCCGTACACCAGTCTATTGTCTTTCTTGAACATTTTCTTGAACATGCCTCCAATTCGCGATTTGCGGTGACTTTCGTCCGCGGAGAGGCTGCTGCGGTTGAGGCTTCCTTCCGCGACCAGGAGGACTTATACCCTCCAAGTGCGGTGGGGGCACTGATTCATTCATGATCGTATCAGCGAGGGTAGCGCGGCGCTCCGTGCAGGAGACATGTTCGAGCTATGAGAAGTCGACAGAGGCACGGACCGATCGCAGTTGTCGTCTCTGATCGATTTTCACGATTTTCACTCACCTTAGCCACATTGCTGGCAACACTGTGGACACGCAACGCAACTTAGCTTAGAGCATTCAACCGCATCAGAAACGACATCACAGAGAGCAATTGACTTACGAGGAAAGGCGATACTCGCTGGTGTTGCTCGCCTGGCCGTTGTCAATCGAGGGCCTAAAGTCCACGGCCATCGCTCGCATGTGCTCCAGTAGCTCCTCCGAAAGGCCACCGGATTTTGCTAATTTGATGACCTCGGTGATCACATCCTGCTGCTGCACACGAGCCTTCAGCTCTGCAGAATACACAGAACGTTGCATCAATAGATCTTCCTTCAGTTCTGCCACCTGTTTCTTGTATCGCTTCATCTTTTCCTCCTGAGACTTTATCAGAGCAGCATGTGTACTCATGAGCCGCAAATTTGCTTTTGACTGCCGCTTATTGTGCTGATTCAGCGCAGCAAACGATGCGCCAGCAGCGGTATACGCGTCCTTGATTTTCTTGTTTTCAGTCTTCAGGTTTTCATTCTCTTGGGACAAATCCCGTCGGCCGTGTTCGCGGCCCTTTGTAAATCCTCTTTTCGAAGGTGAAGTCAATCATGCGCTCGGAGTCGTCTAGCAGCTTCGCTGTCATCCATTGACTCTGAGTCCTACCTTACTTGGACCACGAACTGCTTGGAAGCGTGTGTAACGCTTCACCCTCGCAAATGCTGCTGTTAGCAGTAAGTACAGAAGAACCCCGAACCTCTTTCAGCTCCTGCTGCAATGACGAATTTTCCGCTTCGATTTCCAGGCGAGCACGCTTTTCGTCCTCGAGACGGTGCTTCAACAAATCTACCTCGGTCTCCATTGCATCATGTTCCTTCCCGTTCCGTCAAAAGCTTGTGATACTTGTCCACTTGCTTCCTCGTCTTGAGCATGCACTGGATCTTAATGGTGGCATTGCGAAGCTTTGTATACTTCTGCTCGGCAAGATGTTTGCGGTACGCACTTTGAATCAAAACCGCGCTATTTCCCTTCATCAACAGATACATACGCTGGCGCGAGCGCACACCGCGCCACACACTTTGCACGATCACACACTTCTTCCGCTTCTCGATGAACGCACGCCGCTGTACCTGGCAGCGGTAACGTGCCTGAAGTTTAGTAATCATTGTCCGGACCTTTTTGACTCTTCGCCGTGCAATCCATTGTCGCGCATTTCTCTGAATCACGACTGCTCGATCGTGTACAAACGTCGTGCGTCGGTGCTCTAGAAACTCCAGCACATCTTTACCAAAAAGACCAGACTTTTTCCGACAACAAAATCTGGAGTATCGGGTTGTTCATCGTTGCCGCACTTGCGAACGAAATCATCACTGCAAAGTAGTTCCTTAGCAAGCAACTCGCATGCCTCAGTAACAGTCGTAGACACGGAAGCGGGCGTTTTTGTGCTCCTCATCATTACAAAACGGCGAAGGAACTTTTCATGTGCCATCTTATTCGGAAATGCTGCGCGTGTAATGCGAATGGCTTCCACGACACCTGCACAGCGAAGCTGGTTGACGACCGCGTCAATTTCATAGATGTCGGGACGCTTTTGCGAATTGGGTTTGATGCAGCGCACGTAGTGCACCTCGGTGCTCGAGATGTCGCTCATTAGTAGTGACAATTGTGCCTTAAACTTGTAGCTCACAGTCTCTTGCATGAAAGTTGACGTTTTCCGACCGATTGTACCACGTCGCCCTGCTTCCATCATCGTGGAAGCACGAATCGTCAAGTCTGCGTCTGTAATGGATGCCGCATTATCATTATCGCCAAATACCATTGACATCAAACCATTTGAACTCGTGCCCAACAACTCTAATAAATCCGTCTGGAGGAGTCCTTGTTCTTCTCGACAAAGCCCTTTGCATCGTATGTCACAGGACTCGCATAGTGGTATAGCAAAAAGTGCATTTGACTCAGACGAGCTCTCTCAAGGCGGGGGTGCGACTCACGCAGTGACACCAGCTTGGAAACAAATGACAGATCGCTGCCCATTGGACGTACACATTCCTCGTTAAGCAGCGCCATGACGCCCATTGAGTTCTCCAAGAGGTCCAGCATATCCTGATTGTCTCGGTACTTGACAAACTCCCACGCCACGCCCTCTTGCTGATACTCCTCTTGCACTGTTTTGAAGACATCCATCGTAAACTTCTGCTGCAGCTTTTCGTTCGCAAAATTGATGCAAAATTGCTCAAAACTGTTGTGCTCGAATGACTCAAAACCGAAGATATCCAGCAAATCAATGTGTAGGTACGATGGCGTGACCGCTGTCGAGTTCGAAATGCTGTGGTTCACGCGACGTACCAAATAGCCGAACACTCGCGCGTAAATTTCTTTTGCCAGGGCATCGCGATTGTTGCCAGCTTGATGAGCTGACAAGGGCACGCAATAGACTTCCTGACGGGCCTTGACCGTGCGACTACAGAGCTGTGCGCCCAGCGCTGCCATCTCCACGCCCAAGAGCTGCGCACACTGCTCCATCTCAATCTTCTGCAGCGCAATCTGCTCGTCCGTAATCGTCGCGGACGACGCGACAAACGCCACCGCTTGACTCGCGTCGTCCTTGTTCGAGTCGAGCGGGACAAAGTCGAGCTGCCCGAGCCGCAGGATCCCGCACAGCGCGCGAAAGAGCTCCGTCTGCTCCTTGTCACTCACGCCAATCGTCGTGAGAGCGTCCCGCGTGACTTGGTACCGCTCCAAGTCTGTCATGCCGTCCAGCGTGAGCACTTCGTCCTGCAAGAAGCGAAACTGCTTGGCTGACGTGTTCGCGTCAAAGCCAAGCGCCGGCTCCTTGGCACTCACCAACTGATAGAAAATGTGGTAGTTCCGCTCGCCTGCCGCTTGCGCTACAACGCGCGACTTTTCCAGCAAATAGTGACGACACTCGGCGCCCACGAGACACGAGTCGCTATTGAACTGGAGCTGCGTGAACTTGCCAAAGCGGCTCGAGTTGTCGTTGCGGATCGTCTTGGCGTTGCCAAACGCCTCCAGCAACGGGTTGCTCTTGAGCACCTTCTCGACCACGACTGCTTCGCCGCTCTCGACCGGTGGCAAGCGCTTGGCGATCGCCATGGAGATACTCGCCAAGTGCTCCATCATGATCTTGACGGTCTCGGTCTTGCCTGCCCCCGACTCGCCACTCACGAGGATGCTCTGGGGCAGACGGTGCTGGTTCATGTGGTGAAACGCCTCGGCGCTTGTCGCATACACGTGTGGCGGCATCACGTCCCATGGGCGTTCCGTGTACAGATCCCGGAGCTCGTTCGTATAGAGGCTCTTGATCCACTGGTACGGGTTCAACGCCACGACGATCTTCCCCGTGTACGTGTACGGCTCGTTGGCAAAGAAGCGCGCGCGCACGTTGTAGACGATCGCGGGCTCGTGGAGATGCCCGAGCGCGCACATGTCTTCGGCGCCAGCGCTCGTCAGGTCCGAGCTGGCTTCGTTCTGGAGCGGCAACGAGTCGGGCATGCCGTCGTGGGTGAGGTCGACGGTGCGCTCGTCAACGGGCGCATCGGAGCTGCCGCGCAATGGTTGCACCCGGACGCGGAAGACGTTGCCGCACTCGTTGACCGAGAGGATTGTAGCTGGTACCCAGACAAACTTCTCGTCGGGAATGTACACGCGCGCGCCCTCCATCGTGCGGAAAAAGAGTGATGGTCAGGGAAATTTCCCTTTGCAGCGCGGACAGTAGCAGCAGCGCGGTGGGGACGGCGGTTGGGGCTCGAGAGGGAAATCAACCCACAAACCCGTGAACGAGGCGGGTCACGAGCGCGCGTTTGGTAGGGAAACCATCGACTTTGACGGGGATTTGACGCGGCTCGGTGCTTCTTGCGCACCGAGCATCGGAGTAGAAAAGGTGCGGGCGATACATCCTTGCGCAGATAGCTACACTGATCGTGGTGGAAATCTCTGATTTGTTGTTTTACCGGTATCGGTTCTTTTGCGAACCTTGACAAGCATCGACTTGTGCGTTTGATAGCTAAAAAGTGCTTTTTACGCTTAGAGGGAACCTCACTTAGTGCACCCGTTGCCATAACAGAGGCTTCGCCTTGCTTACCTTTGCGACTGCCAGGAACTTCGTGTTCGTACACGATTGTCACATTTTAACAGTCCGTCTCGGCGCTTCGTGTCTCACTGATCTGTTGGAGGATCATGTTGCTTTCCGAGTTTAGGTCGAGCGTATAGACGCAGGTTTTACCTTTTAGTCCGTCGTGCACGTGGACCGGTCGGCGCTTTTACATACAGAGAAACGTGGCCGTGTCACCGCAGATGGTGCTAGTTTTATGCAGTGTTCATTATGGCTTGGACAGCGCACTGACATGAGCACTGGTGCACAGTTGAAGGACCAGATAAGAGCAAGAATAATTTGCAGGCGTAATCAATCAATAGTACAGGAACGAAAGAGGGCTAGCAGAAATTTTCAGCAAAATGTTTATTCAATAACTTTAATAGCAGAAATTTTGGGACGGCGGGATACCACCACGATGTGGCTTCATTACAGCCATGATCACAGATCACCATCCCACGGCCACAGCCCTGATTGATGACATCATACTCTTGCTTTGTACATGACGTACTGTATCCGCCAAGAGTATCCGGTCAAAAGTATCCAGCCAAGAGTATCCAGTCAAGAGCACTTGTTATCCAATGAGGTATGTATACGCGTGTACCGAGGGCGATGACAATTGCATACAAAAAGTGGCTACATCCTTCTACATCGGTTACGCCCCACGGATTTTTAGGCTTCGACACCGCCTTTGACGAAGTTGAAGTTGATGGAGAAGTACACACCAATGAACTTGGTGATCGCATTCCACCAAGGAAGGATAGATTGGATAGTTGCACCTTTCATTTTATATTATAGACCACAAGTGCACACGTCCTGTCATCAGGGACGACTGAAATGCAGTAGGTGTGCTTACATTCCATCTGTATATGCGACTCACAGCCTAAGTTGCTTTCCCGACAGGATCTACCTAGTCACATGAATGCTTGAATCCTGCGCTACTCCCACCCGATTCCTATCATCACACCCCTTTTCTTCCTCTCCTTTCATCCCGCCAGTCATCTCTTCCCTAACTTCTCTTCGTTCGAATACTAAACAACCTCGACCCCATCGCATCCAAAGAAACCAACAATGTGCTCAACTAAACGTTTAATACTCGACAATACGTGTCGACTGGTTACTAGCAGTGCTATTGCGACGATACTCTTGTGCCCGTCGCTTCCGCTCTCGCTGCTCTTCCTCCGGGTTCAACGTCGGCACGCCATATTCACAAAGCGAGACGTAGGACGATCCCCGATCTCGAATCGCACACGGGGCGACACTCAAAAACGCTCGCATGGCAAACGAATCGCGCAGAAACGCCATGCTTTGCACGGCACGCAAGAGCTCTTGGAAGCGGTCGCATCGCGATTGCACGTGGGATCGATCGTGCCGCTTCCAGTATGTGAGAAAGCCAGCGTGGGGCAAAGGGGGCAAGCTGAACGCCAGTATCGAGCGCTCGAGTGTGTCCTCTTGCGTCATCCTCCTCACGGGCTGCGGCCCTTCCGTAGATCCGGGAGTCGCCCCCGTGCAAGTCTCGAACTGGCTCGATGACGGTAATAACTTTGTCGATTCTCGAGGATGTCGCATAACTGGACGTAGAGCTCTTTAAAGTCAGAGTAGCTGCGACGGATAGTGTATGTTTGCAAAGGGGCGTCGTGGTCTACCACATCAATGTGATACATGACTTTTTTCTCTCTTCCACGCATGGAGAAGCCCGAGAGCACAAGGTCCGTTAACGGCTCGACGGATGACTGGGGACCAGACGCTGTCGACTGCCCGAGCTCTGCCTCTCGAATCTGGAGCTGCTGCTGCTGCTGCTGGAGTTCTTTGTCGGACGTTACGTCGGACTCGTCCTCGAGTGTGAGTTCATTGAGCTCGAGCTCGTCGTCGAGGCAGCAGATCGTGGCATTGGACGACGGTTCTTGGGGCAGACCGCCCACGTCGTCCTCGTCCAGTGGTTGAGGCTTGTCGTCCGTCTCGCAGACGGACTTGAGCGTCGCGTGGACGGCATTGATAGCATCATCATCGTCGACGTCGTCGAGAGTGGTGGTCGTCGTAGTCGTGGCTCGTTTGATTGGAGCGGATGGTGAGGGAGGTGGCTGTTGTTTGAGCGTGGCAAAGTACCAGTCGGGTAAGTGCTCGACCGCTGCTTCGAGCTGCTGGCCGCGGGAGAAGGAAAGCGCCTCAGTCATGAGGGACTCGGGGCAAATAAAGTTGTGAGTTCTGACTTGAGTCTACTAACAACTGCAGGGAGCTAGCTCCCCAGCAGCGCGAGGCAGCTGGGGAGGGAAGCTGCACATCCCCCCGTCTTTGAGCTTGGTTTAAACCCCGTTTCAAGAACGGGGTGGGGGGGGGAGCTCAAAGCGTGAGAAAACGTCGCCTTTTCACTTGGTTTCAGTACGAAATGTGTTTTGCTGCCAAGGACGAAAAGCGGTTTTAGGACCGACGAAAAGGATGCTCATTATCAGCACGGCGTTGGTCAAGGCGCTCATTTCCCCAGCGATGCTTCGCTTCCTCTTGCCCGCCGGCTGTTTGAAAGGTCAATTGCTATGTAATTCTCAACTAGCGGCGATGGGCACTGGGAAACCCATGGCCAGCTTCAAGTGCTCGACCAGTTGGTATCGAGTCTTTTTTATCGGCCGCGGACAAGTCGTTTTGGTCCACGTGGGTGGGGCGTGGGCAATGTCTTAACTCGATGGGGCACGCACTACTACACGGCGTTAAAGCCACTGACTGTTTTCGACACGATGTGGCTATATCACGTCGTTCGTTACCTGTGCCTCTTCGGTACCTTGCTGTCATCATCATCTCTTACTGATGGCACAAGTGGAAGGAAGGAAGGAAGGTTGGTCGGTCGGTCGGTCGTCTTCCATTGAGAGGGTTTTACGGCACATTCGGCATCTATTCCAGGCACCGATCTTTCGAAAAATTCGAATGCGCGAGAGAGCGAGAGCAAGAGAGTATTCGGACGGATAAGCACCCGACTGCTCTTCTATTGTCCATTCGACCTCGCCCCGCGGCGAGTCTATGGTTTATAATATGGAAAATTACAGAGCGCCGATGCAGCCAAGCCAGTCTATCGGATACAGTGTGCTCCCAGGCAGAGCAAGCTCATGCTGTTCATTCATTCCTTGCTGGTTGGTTCCACTGGAAACAGGCTCGACGGCAGGTGCTGACTGATTGTAGGAGAACACTAAAGGGTGCTGTGGAGCGAATCTGACCTGTGTAAACGATCTTATGTTGCATCCAAACAGCGTCAATGCAGTGCCAACACGTGGCGTTTTGCTCTTCAGAATAACTCACACGGACGAAACGCTTCAGTTGTCTCAACATCGCCTCCCCATCTACTATCTGAGCACAAGGCCTGACCCAGCAGCTTCTGCTACTTTTCAACAAGCACTTTTACCGCCACTTTTCTGTAAAGTCGTTAGGTAAGGGCGGAGCAAGCAAGTGCGTGGACGTCTGTCCTTCTGGTGCCAAACTCTGTCCATTTTGTCAGCTTTCACGTGAGCTTGCTCGTCTCATCGTTTCCAGCTCGCTGTCCGGCCATCACGTCGTCACGTCCTTCCACCACTGAGATCCAGCGCAGCTGCTCGCAGTGTAACACCGTCATAAAAAAGATAAATGAAATGAAAAAGCGTCCGCGTCGAGACTAACAGTGTTTTGTATGGACGGACGGTTGGCCAGCAATTAGCAGCAGCTAAAACTTGAACGAGGTGCACTCTTTACCCACACGACTCAAGTCGGATAGACGAGCCGAAGAGGGTCGTGTGGATATTGTCGTGGTCAGTTGTCGTGGTCAGTTGTCGCGGTCAGATTGTCTCTACGATGATAAAGATCGATCCCCCCTTCGCATGAAATTTCAGTGCACGTCTGACTGACTGACTTGGCACAGCGCGACATTCCGCCATGCTCCTTGACTTGTGTAGACGATGCAAGCTGTCGCATATGCTGACTACCTGACGTGCCCTATTGAGCGTTTCGTTCCAGCAGGGATGTAAACCAAGCGGTACAAGTATGTAGGCAGCTATTGCTATCACGTTTGGGTCTTCGACTGCTGTGATAGACCGGAAATGGTCATTCAGCAGATCAATTTTGCTGCTGGCTTCTGCAGCAAAAGCGACTACTGATTTGCCAGGAAACGATCAGTCGGTATGATGTTCATTCACCTCTGGACAAGGACTAGGACGAGAAGAAAGATGAGGAAGCGTTGATAGGTAGCAAAACGCTCGCGAATCGGGATCAACACGTGCATGATCCATGGGGTGCAGGACTTCCCTCTCGAAACGATAGTCAACCAGTTTCCAGCTCCTGATCAAGCATCCGTCTGCACGGTGTATCAACAAGTACCGTACACTTGCAGTGCGTGCTTGCTGATACTAATCTCATCGAACGCCCGTGAATAACACGTACACGAGAAAGCCAGATAGCCTGCACATCTTGCATGTGGACCACCCATTTCGCTACAAGTTCACGTCGGACGAGCAGATTACAATCCCCGTGCCCTTTGCATGGACGACCAGAATTCTTGATGCAGTCACAAACCCTCGAATTTTTCAATGTCTCAACGACGATTGGGAACGGTGGCATCAAAGAAAACATCTTCATCATCCTTTCCCCCTCACGTCGACGCACAACTTCACCTTTCATATGCCACACCTTTGACGTATCTCGCAAGGGATGTCTGCATAGAGTTTTGAGCATCATCGAACCGCCTCGAACATCACCTCAGTAGCAAGAAATTCTATGCACAGCCTTGTGTGATCCTTGTTTTCGACAATCTCGGATGAGAGGTAAAGAACTGGATGGACTGGAGCATCTTTGTGCGGCGAGTCACGAGAGACGCTCGTCAAAAATTTGCGAGCTGTACGGATCCTCCGGCGTTCAGCAGGATTGTAAGTCAGGTACACGGTATACGATTCTTGGAGAGCTTGGAAAGAGGAGGCAAGCTCGCAACTGCGTGTGAAGTCCAGTGCCCGTTGTACAACAACTATAGATGAAGTGGATCGTTCGGCATCGAAAAGCGGTGACACTGCGCTGAAGCCGGCGTGACCAATGTCTCCCTCGCCCACTGTTGAAAAATTCTCTAGCTCTACGTAGTGTCTACTACACCTTGGACAGAGGGATATGCGCTTTGTTCGATGCTCTTCGTTGACATTCCAGGCTGAACCCTCATCACGGTTGTCCATCGTGTTACTAACATTGTGACAAAGCGCTCACATTTTATGGGTCCTGCAGTGCCCTCCGTGACAGCTGTACACGTTGTTTACCTCATTTTGCCTTCACGCCACGCTCTTTGATCAGATTGATTCCGAGACTACACTTTTTCGTGTGGTGTGACATCGGTAGTCTCTAGAGTCAAGTTGTGCTTGAAGAGCTACGCTTCTCCTCCCCACGGTTGTCCTATTGCTGGTTATGCTTCCGATCTGACCAGCAGACCGCTGCTGCTTTTGCACTTGCTACCTCCAACATCCTGCGTCCCATAACTAGATACTCACGTGTCGACTGAAGTCTTGTGCAGGCTGTAATTTGCCAAACGGATGACTGTCAGCACTTATGGCTCTACTGCAGTCTGGCCACAAAATGTGACGGCTCACAGCATTGCAGCCATCCACGGCAAGACAACCTTTCGAGGCCAAGTGGATAGCCCCCAGCCAAATTTCGAGGCCAAGCGGATAGCCTCAACTACATTTCATGCCTTCTGGCTACCACTGCATAAACATTGCATATCGTCTCACGCCTTCATTGACCGTGGATCGGGGTTGAGCCCAAGTAATCGCCAATAGCTCGAACGAACTGACTGTTGAGCAGCACTTTAACCAGCAGTTTCTTGAGCACAACTGTCTATTTGCTGACACGGTTTCGCAGCCCTCTCTCTCGCTAGCACTCATCGACAAGGCTACAGGTCTTCACTAAGTCAAGAAAAATGTCGCTCGATTGACCTAGTCCACCACAAAGGTAGAGCGACCGCGACCTCATACAAGTGCAGCCGTTGATTGCATTGTTGCCGTCACAAGTGTGACTACGATGTGTCGGCATTATGCAACATGCCCCGTCACGCTGTGTAAGTTGCGGTACTATCGATCGCTGCGACATTGTAAAGAGAGTGGCGGCCAGGAGGAAGACTGGAGGAAAAGCTCGTGTGACGTGACTACCGTTCAATACACAGTGCAACGTGATCATGAAAAGGCGTCGAACGCCCTGTCCAGTCCTTCGCCATACCGGTCGAGTCAGTCGAAGCTGGCTGTTTTGTTCACCATCATCGTAATAGACCCGAGTTCCCCTACTACATGTCGTTATGGACGTGGGAGAGAGAGAAAAGCTCGAACGCTGCACGCCACACATGTCGGTGCAAAAAGGACGCGTGCAATACTTGAGCTTTGCCCTCGCTCTGTGCCAGTCATTCGGTGCCATCTGCTTTCCAGTCCAGTAGACAACCGACTTGTCAAGGCTTTGTCCTCAGCTGTAGCTCCTGGACTAACCACAACAAGCGGCTGCAACCATAGCCTAACTGCACCTTTCCGAAAACCATTCGCTTTGCAAGCAAACGTTCGTGGATTTGCACGTGCGACAGCTGCTGCTTTTGCTTCCACTTCCGCTGTCACTTGACACATGACCCAGTCACCTGAAACTTCATTCACCCCTTTTGCACGGTCCTCAGCTCGTTCTTCCACCCCTCTTCGTGCCCCGCTTGTCATGCGCATCGTCGCTCCTTCTTCTGCCTTCCACGGTTTTTACTACAGCGAGTCGGCTCTTCCCGACAGCTCCGACTCCGAGTTTCCCAGCTTCCTCCTCAACAATGCAGAATCCAGCAGTCTCGCTGCACTGGCAACCCCTCGAGCCATGAACTGCAACAACAACAACAACAACAATCGGATCTGATGACCACCACTTCAGATAAGTCACCTGACTTTAAGATCAGGCCGAGCTCATCGACAGACATTTCGTCTAGCTCTAACAGAGAATTCAGTGAGGGTAGGGTCTCAAGACTCACTGACCCATCTACGTGGCCGGTCACACCATAAACGAGTGTATATAGCTGCTCGCTAGTATGACTCAGTGACGTAACAGACGCCTTGCGTTGTATAGAAGCAATCTGGCGTCGCTGTCGTCTCTGTAACGAGACTGAACGCCTTAAAGAGACTGGAACTTTCTCGTTCCCAAGGTTGATATCATCATCATCCTTAACTTGCTCTGTACAAGAGTCGGTGTCATTACCGACACCCGGGACAGCAATGTTCCCGAGATTAACATGCCCATCAGCCTTAAGTTGCTCACTATCGGAGACGATGTCATTACCGACATCCGGGACTATACCGCCCCAAGGTGGCGAACTACGTCAACCTCAACTTGATCTATATCCGATCTGACGTCATTGCCGACATTCGGTGATGAGTCACTTCCAGTGATATCATCACCCAGTTGGTATTTAAGTGCCACTCCTCGCTCATCAAATGGGTATCGCCCTTGACGAAATGGCGTTTCACCAACAAAGTCTTGAATGACATTTAGTTTGTCACAATCACGGCTAACATCACTCAGTGGGTATGCACGTGCTACTCCACGCTCATCAGATGGGTTCAATCCATGATGACTTGGCTCTAGACCAACAATGCGTTCAGCATTCGTTGATTCGTAATCACAACGATTATTGATCGACGGGTTACGTGCCGTTTCCCATTCAACGAGCTTGGCTCGCAACTAACGTTTTTGACATCTTCCAGCTCAACGAGTTCAGCCATACCGATGTCCAGTACACTGACTGTCTCAGTCCGTGGCTCGCACCAATATCGCTTCTGTTTTCTAGCAGAGGTGGGCTCATGACTCTCCAAAGCTTCACTAGGAACAGTGCGCGTTGCGCCTAAGGTCTTTGACCTCCAGTCACTCCATGGCTCATGGCGTTCTAGCCAAGCCATATCACGGACATACCTCTCATCCAAGTCAAGGACTAAACAGCGTTCGATACTGTCAAAGTCCGAAAACTTAACGCCTAAGCGCTCACATGAACTTTAGCCATAGTGACTAATGCATCTGTCGCCATGCAAAACAGTGATAGTCTCATTATTTCGTGCTTTCAGCGCCTCAGCATACTGCTGACTTCCTTCCAGGGAACAACGTCGGACATAATTTCTCGACGCCCGGAGTCGATCAATATCGACCATAGCTTGTCAAAGCCCTTTACCATGATTTTGTAACTAACAAGCCTGGCTTGTACTCATGTTTCGTGACATTGCTTCAAAGCCACTTGGGGCTAAGCCCTGTTCTCTATCACCTCCCAGATGTACAACAGAGCCTAGGTTTTCACCATCAGGGCGCCCCGCGCCTACTGAGACTCGACGTTTTCCGCGCCTTACCAACTCGTTGGTTAGCGACGGAAGGTCGGCTCGAACGAGCTTGTCTGGTCCTTCTGAAATGACAATTTAGGGCGAAGGTGTTTGATGCTTCCGCACGTAAAACATCTACGGATTTTCGAACGCTGCCCGACGTCATAGAGCTAAGCTTCTTCGTCTCTCTCAGAGAGACTAAGATCCATGGGTTCTGCCCTATAAATGAGATGAGCATTGCTCGACGAGTTCGATTGGAGCCCATGAGTCCCATGTAGGGCAGCTATAAGTTGAAGTCTGCGTTCAACGCTATGTCCACTGCACCCTCAAATGTCAATGGTTGTGCACGAAACACTTCTGTTCTGGCAACGCCAGTGCAAAGACCCTCCATGAAAATGGCTACCAAAACCGTCTCAGGTAAAGGGTCAAGCTGCATAGCAGCAATGAGACTTCAAAACTCCTGGACATAATCGAATAAGTCCTTTTTTTCTGGCGGGTTGACAGGACTCGTGATCGCACGGGATATGCCCTGATTAGGCGGTGCAAACACTCAAGATAGCTGCTGTTTCAGCATGTTCCGGATGGGAAAAGCCTCGCCTGTCGAGGTACCAGAAGTGACGGCCCACTCCCTGGATCGCCCACCTAACTTCGATAAGGCCAGGCCCACCTTTTGCTGCTCTGACCGCAGCAAGGCCGAGCTGATGGTAACCTCCATCTCCCGAACCCACAAAAAAAAGATTTTCCCCCTTTTCCCCTCAAAAGTCTTGACACTTAAGACTAGAGGACGAGTTCTCGACTCAGTGTCCGTTGGGACATACCGAGTGGGCATGGCAGATGCCACATGGTCATGCACCTGTCCGATCAACGTGGAATCAAAGTTCGAGAAGGCCTCGAGACGTGCACGAAGTGCTTCCAGACCTTGCGACACTATAATAGCCACTTGTTCGTGCTCGATCAACGCCTTGAGCTTCTCAAGCGTGACCTGCTGGGCCTCAGAGAGGTTCATGGCCGTTTCCATCCTCGCAGAGATTTCAGTCCGTGAAGACTCAGGTGTAGATTGACTACAAGTGCTACAAAGTGTAGCGGAGATACTTAGCGCTCCTTGACAGAGGAAGTCTTCGACTCAAATAGTCTCTTTGTTATACAAACTAACAACGACGTACAGTCGCTCAACCGTACAAGCTTAACAATCCCAGTTCCAAAGGGGTTACGATTCATAGAATCACACACTAACTAGAGACTACTCGTTAAACAAGAGTAAGCGCCGTTACAAGGCTAACACCCTTACGACACACTACGCCTTGACTCGCCACTAGTGTCCAACGATTCAAAAGGGGAACTGAACTTTATTAATTCTTGAACTACGGTAATAAAGCTCCAAAGCCTTGTCTGATTGACTTCTACATTGCGATCCTATGACAGAAATCATAAGACGTTTACATTATGATCCTAGGATAGAAGTCATAAGACTTCTGTCGTAGGACTTCAATTATCCCTCATCCCTACCCGATAAGGTACGGTATTACCGAAAGTACGTGGTACCAAGACTAAACCACTCAGACCCACCAATCTTTACTTAGTGTGGACACACAATAAAACCGGTTCAATAACAACGTGCAACCCCATTAACGAATGTGTATCTCTGGCTGGTGATCCATGTTGGTGACCGACGTCGATGACTGCGTTGTGTCCGTCGACATCAACGTCGACGTGGTGACCAAACCAGGTGGCTGCTGAGTTGTGTGTGGACGTCGTCTATGTTTGGTGGCTTGACAATGAATGCAAGGAGGGCCCTTGCGATGACAGTTTGTGCAAGTGGTACGATTACCAGTGCGTTTGTTTGAGATGGACATTGACACTTTTCGGCAATCGATGACATAGAAGGAGAGACTGGACGGAGCATGCTAATCGCGCTAAGAGAAAACGTGTCCGTCTGAACGAGTCGGCATGTTCGTGTCGATGTGAACATGCAGATACAAAGACATTGGTCGTGACAAGATGATCTGATCTGAACGTGCTGCTGGAAGAACGTGCTGCTGGAAGAACGTGTTGACCTTCGCGAGGTGGCTGGCTGACAACTGGCTGCAAAGCCTCGACAGTATATATATTGGCGAGCTCCAACTGCCCGACAGCACCGAAAGTACAGATGGTCGATCCTTCCGTCGACAGGTTGACATGCTGAGCCAAGTGATGACGAAAAGTAGCGACAAACAGCCTCACAAACAAGAGCGAGTCCGGCGGTGCACGCAGATTTTTCTTCTTGCTCGGCTTCCGTGTCGTCTCGTTCGTGAGCCCGTCTGCATGCGCTGCAGCATGTCAGTCGGCGCGATGTCCAGCATGTGTGAGGTCTACCATCCCCATCCGCCACCGTAGCCTCCCCATCCACCGTAGCCACCCCATCCCCCGAAGCCACCCCAGGGACGTCCCCATCCCAAGCCTCCCCACCACTCCTTGGACACCTTGCCTTCCGCACCAATGACGGCAGTAGGCTCTTTTTCCGCAGCTACATCAGCAGCAGCCTCAACAGGATGCGAATGTCGCTCGGTAGGACCCGCTGCCATCGTATCAGTGCTGGGTGTAGCTGGTTCCGATGCAGCAAGGGCTCGGAGCGCCGGCTGGTAGTCAGTAGCTGAGGCGACGCTTGCTACAGCAACTAGCGCGGTGACGGCGAGAGCAGTGCACTTCATGGTCGATTTGGTCGGTTGGTCGAGTACTTGCTCGCTAGGTGTTGGTGTGGTAGTGCCAGTTGGTTTGTGAGTGCGATCGATGTACGAGCTAGCGAGTGGGCTGGTGTTGCGACGAGTGACTCGTCACGTAGCGTCATGGTGACTGCTTCAATTGATTGAGTTGATTGATTGCAAATCGAGTAGATGGTTGAAAAGTCGGCGCGTCTCGATCGCGTTTCCAGTCACGAGCGTGGAATAGAACTTCGAGCGAGGTTTGAATTCCACTGTAGTTTTGTCGACATGATGGACGGTTGATGGTCGTCGAAGAAGGTCGCGGAGGGTGGTAGTCCGGTTCCGTCGCTCATGAATCGGTGGTACCTGCTAGAAGACAACCATAAGTAGAATGGTGAAGGTCCATAAGTAGAACGGTGGAGGCGTGTGTATCTCTGGCTGGTGATCAATGTTGGTGACCGACGTCGATGACTGCGTTGTGTCCGTCGACATCAACGTCGACGTGGTGACCAAACCAGGTGGCTGCTGAGTTGTGTGTGGACGTCGTCTATGTTTGGTGGCTTGACAATGAATGCAAGGAGGGCCCTTGCGATGACAGTTTGTGCAAGTGGTACGAATACCAGTGCGTTTGTTTGAGATGGACATTGACACTTTTCGGCAATCGATGACATAGAAGGAGAAACTGGACGGAGCATGCTAATCGCGCTAAGAGAAAACGTGTCCGTCTGAACGAGTCGGCATGTTCGTGTCGATGTGAACATGCAGATACAAAGACATTGGTCGTGACAAGATGATCTGATCTGAACGTGCTGCTGGAAGAACGTGCTGCTGGAAGAAGGTGTTGACCTTTGCGAGGTGGCTGGCTGACAACTGGCTGCAAAGCCTCGATAGTATATATATTGGCGAGCTCCAACTGCCCGACAGCACCGAAAGTACAGGTGGTCGATTCTTCCGTCGACAGGTTGACATGCTGAGCCAAGTGATGACGAAAAGTAGCGACAAACAGCCTCACAAACAAGAGCGAGTCCGGCGGTGCACGCAGATTTTTCTTCTTGCTCGGCTTCCGTGTCGTCTCGTTCGTGAGCCCGTCTGCATGCGCTGCAGCATGTCAGTCGGCGCGATGTCCAGCATGTGTGAGGTCTACCATCCCCATCCGCCACCGTAGCCTCCCCATCCACCGTAGCCACCCCATCCTCCGAAGCCACCCCAGGGACGTCCCCATCCCAAGCCTCCCCACCACTCCTTGGACACCTTGCCTTCCGCACCGATGACGGCAGTAGGCTCTTTTTCCGCAGCTACATCAGCAGCAGCCTCAACAGGATGCGAATGTCGCTCGGTAGGACCCGCTGCCATCGTGTCAGTGCTGGGTGTAGCTGGTTCCGATGCAGCAAGGGCTCGGAGCGCCGGCTGGTAGTCAGTAGCTGAGGCGACGCTTGCTACAGCAACTAGCGCGGTGACGGCGAGAGCAGTGCACTTCATGGTCGATTTGGTCGGTTGGTCGAGTACTTGCTCGCTAGGTGTTGGTGTGGTAGTGCCAGTTGGTTTGTGAGTGCGATCGATGTACGAGCTAGCGAGTGGGCTGGTGTTGCGACGAGTGACTCGTCACGTAGCGTCATGGTGACTGCTTCAATTGATTGAGTTGATTGATTGCAAATCGAGTAGATGGTTGAAAAGTCGGCGCGTCTCGATCGCGTTTCCAGTCACGAGCGTGGAATAGAACTTCGAGCGAGGTTTGAATTCCACTGTAGTTTTGTCGACATGATGGACGGTTGATGGTCGTCGAAGAAGGTCGCGGATGGTGGTAGTCCGGTTCCGTCGCTCATGAATCGGTGGTACCTGCTAGAAGACAACCATAAGTAGAATGGTGAAGGTCCATAAGTAGAACGGTGGAGGCGTGTGTATCTCTGGCTGGTGATCAATGTTGGTGACCGACGTCGATGACTGCGTTGTGTCCGTCGACATCAACGTCGACGTGGTGATCAAACCAGGTGGCTGCTGAGTTGTGTGTGGACGTCGTCTATGTTTGGTGGCTTGACAATGAATGCAAGGAGGGCCCTTGCGATGACAGTTTGTGCAAGTGGTACGAATACCAGTGCGTTTGTTTGAGATGGACATTGATACTTTTCGGCAATCGATGGCATAGAAGGAGAGACTGGACGGAGCATGCTAATCGCGCTAAGAGAAAACGTGTCCGTCTGAACGAGTCGGCATGTTCGTGTCGTTGTGAACATGCAGATACAAAGACATTGGTCGTGACAAGATGATCTGATCTGAACGTGCTGCTGGAAGAACGTGCTGCTGGAAGAAGGTGTTGACCTTCGCGAGGTGGCTGGCTGACAACTGGCTGCAAAGCCTCGACAGTATATATATTGGCGAGCTCCAACTGCCCGACAGCACCGAAAGTACAGGTGGTCGATTCTTCCGTCGACAGGTTGACATGCTGAGCCAAGTGATGACGAAAAGTAGCGACAAACAGCCTCACAAACAAGAGCGAGTCCGGCGGTGCACGCAGATTTTTCTTCTTGCTCGGCTTCCGTGTTGTCTCGTTCGTGAGCCCGTCTGCATGCGCTGCAGCATGTCAGTCGGCGTGATGTCCAGCATGTGTGAGGTCTACCATCCCCATCCGCCGCCGTAGCCTCCCCATCAACCGTAGCCACCCCATCCTCCGAAGCCACCCCAGGGACGTCCCCATCCCAAGCCTCCCCACCACTCCTTGGACACCTTGCCTTCCGCACCGATGACGGCAGTAGGCTCTTTTTCTGCAGCTACATCAGCAGCAGCCTCAACAGGATGCGAATGTCGCTCGGTAGGACCCGCTGCCATCGTGTCAGTGCTGGGTGTAGCTGGTTCCGATGCAGCAAGGGCTCGGAGCGCCGGCTGGTAGTCAGTAGCTGAGGCGACGCTTGCTACAGCAACTAGCGCGGTGACGGCGAGAGCAGTGCACTTCATGGTCGATTTGGTCGGTTGGTCGAGTACTTGCTCGCTAGGTGTTGGTGTGGTAGTGCCAGTTGGTTTGTGAGTGCGATCGATGTACGAGCTAGCGAGTGGGCTGGTGTTGCGACGAGTGACTCGTCACGTAGCGTCATGGTGACTGCTTCAATTGATTGAGTTGATTGATTGTAAATCGAGTAGATGGTTGAAAAGTCGGCGCGTCTCGATCGCGTTTCCAGTCACGAGCGTGGAATAGAACTTCGAGCGAGGTTTGAATTCCACTGTAGTTTTGTCGACATGATGGACGGTTGATGGTCGTCGAAGAAGGTCGCGGATGGTGGTAGTCCGGTTCCGTCGCTCATGAATCGGTGGTACCTGCTAGAAGACAACCATAAGTAGAATGGTGAAGGTCCATAAGTAGAACGGTGGAGGCGTGTGTATCTCTGGCTGGTGATCAATGTTGGTGACCGACGTCGATGACTGCGTTGTGTCCGTCGACATCAACGTCGACGTGGTGACCAAACCAGGTGGCTGCTGAGTTGTGTGTGGACGTCGTCTATGTTTGGTGGCTTGACAATGAATGCAAGGAGGGCCCTTGCGATGACAGTTTGTGCAAGTGGTACGAATACCAGTGCGTTTGTTTGAGATGGACATTGATACTTTTCGGCAATCGATGACATAGAAGGAGAAACTGGACGGAGCATGCTAATCGCGCTAAGAGAAAACGTGTCCGTCTGAACGAGTCGGCATGTTCGTGTCGTTGTGAACATGCAGATACAAAGACATTGGTCGTGACAAGATGATCTGATCTGAACGTGCTGCTGGAAGAACGTGCTGCTGGAAGAAGGTGTTGACCTTTGCGAGGTGGCTGGCTGACAACTGGCTGCAAAGCCTCGATAGTATATATATTGGCGAGCTCCAACTGCCCGACAGCACCGAAAGTACAGGTGGTCGATTCTTCCGTCGACAGGTTGACATGCTGAGCCAAGTGATGACGAAAAGTAGCGACAAACAGCCTCACAAACAAGAGCGAGTCCGGCGGTGCACGCAGATTTTTCTTCTTGCTCGGCTTCCGTGTCGTCTCGTTCGTGAGCCCGTCTGCATGCGCTGCAGCATGTCAGTCGGCGCGATGTCCAGCATGTGTGAGGTCTACCATCCCCATCCGCCACCGCAGCCTCCCCATCCACCGTAGCCACCCCATCCCCCGAAGCCACCCCAGGGACGTCCCCATCCCAAGCCTCCCCACCACTCCTTGGACACCTTGCCTTCCGCACCAATGACGGCAGTAGGCTCTTTTTCCGCAGCTACATCAGCAGCAGCAGCCTCAACAGGATGCGAATGTCGCTCGGTAGGACCCGCTGCCATCGTGTCAGTGCTGGGTGTAGCTGGTTCCGATGCAGCAAGGGCTCGGAGCGCCGGCTGGTAGTCAGTAGCTGAGGCGACGCTTGCTACAGCAACTAGCGCGGTGACGGCGAGAGCAGTGCACTTCATGGTCGATTTGGTCGGTTGGTCGAGTACTTGCTCGCTAGGTGTTGGTGTGGTAGTGCCAGTTGGTTTGTGAGTGCGATCGATGTACGAGCTAGCGAGTGGGCTGGTGTTGCGACGAGTGACTCGTCACGTAGCGTCATGGTGACTGCTTCAATTGATTGAGTTGATTGATTGCAAATCGAGTAGATGGTTGAAAAGTCGGCGCGTCTCGATCGCGTTTCCAGTCACGAGCGTGGAATAGAACTTCGAGCGAGGTTTGAATTCCACTGTAGTTTTGTCGACATGATGGACGGTTGATGGTCGTCGAAGAAGGTCGCGGAGGGTGGTAGTCCGGTTCCGTCGCTCATGAATCGGTGGTACCTGCTAGAAGACAACCATAAGTAGAATGGTGAAGGTCCATAAGTAGAACGGTGGAGGCGTGTGTATCTCTGGCTGGTGATCAATGTTGGTGACCGACGTCGATGACTGCGTTGTGTCCGTCGACATCAACGTCGACGTGGTGACCAAACCAGGTGGCTGCTGAGTTGTGTGTGGACGTCGTCTATGTTTGGTGGCTTGACAATGAATGCAAGGAGGGCCCTTGCGATGACAGTTTGTGCAAGTGGTACGAATACCAGTGCGTTTGTTTGAGATGGACATTGACACTTTTCGGCAATCGATGACATAGAAGGAGAAACTGGACGGAGCATGCTAATCGCGCTAAGAGAAAACGTGTCCGTCTGAACGAGTCGGCATGTTCGTGTCGATGTGAACATGCAGATACAAAGACATTGGTCGTGACAAGATGATCTGATCTGAACGTGCTGCTGGAAGAACGTGCTGCTGGAAGAAGGTGTTGACCTTTGCGAGGTGGCTGGCTGACAACTGGCTGCAAAGCCTCGATAGTATATATATTGGCGAGCTCCAACTGCCCGACAGCACCGAAAGTACAGGTGGTCGATTCTTCCGTCGACAGGTTGACATGCTGAGCCAAGTGATGACGAAAAGTAGCGACAAACAGCCTCACAAACAAGAGCGAGTCCGGCGGTGCACGCAGATTTTTCTTCTTGCTCGGCTTCCGTGTCGTCTCGTTCGTGAGCCCGTCTGCATGCGCTGCAGCATGTCAGTCGGCGCGATGTCCAGCATGTGTGAGGTCTACCATCCCCATCCGCCACCGTAGCCTCCCCATCCACCGTAGCCACCCCATCCTCCGAAGCCACCCCAGGGACGTCCCCATCCCAAGCCTCCCCACCACTCCTTGGACACCTTGCCTTCCGCACCAATGACGGCAGTAGGCTCTTTTTCCGCAGCTACATCAGCAGCAGCCTCAACAGGATGCGAATGTCGCTCGGTAGGACCCGCTGCCATCGTATCAGTGCTGGGTGTAGCTGGTTCCGATGCAGCAAGGGCTCGGAGCGCCGGCTGGTAGTCAGTAGCTGAGGCGACGCTTGCTACAGCAACTAGCGCGGTGACGGCGAGAGCAGTGCACTTCATGGTCGATTTGGTCGGTTGGTCGAGTACTTGCTCGCTAGGTGTTGGTGTGGTAGTGCCAGTTGGTTTGTGAGTGCGATCGATGTACGAGCTAGCGAGTGGGCTGGTGTTGCGACGAGTGACTCGTCACGTAGCGTCATGGTGACTGCTTCAATTGATTGAGTTGATTGATTGTAAATCGAGTAGATGGTTGAAAAGTCGGCGCGTCTCGATCGCGTTTCCAGTCACGAGCGTGGAATAGAACTTCGAGCGAGGTTTGAATTCCACTGTAGTTTTGTCGACATGATGGACGGTTGATGGTCGTCGAAGAAGGTCGCGGAGGGTGGTAGTCCGGTTCCGTCGCTCATGAATCGGTGGTACCTGCTAGAAGACAACCATAAGTAGAATGGTGAAGGTCCATAAGTAGAACGGTGGAGGCGTGTGTATCTCTGGCTGGTGATCAATGTTGGTGACCGACGTCGATGACTGCGTTGTGTCCGTCGACATCAACGTCGACGTGGTGACCAAACCAGGTGGCTGCTGAGTTGTGTGTGGACGTCGTCTATGTTTGGTGGCTTGACAATGAATGCAAGGAGGGCCCTTGCGATGACAGTTTGTGCAAGTGGTACGAATACCAGTGCGTTTGTTTGAGATGGACATTGACACTTTTCGGCAATCGATGACATAGAAGGAGAAACTGGACGGAGCATGCTAATCGCGCTAAGAGAAAACGTGTCCGTCTGAACGAGTCGGCATGTTCGTGTCGATGTGAACATGCAGATACAAAGACATTGGTCGTGACAAGATGATCTGATCTGAACGTGCTGCTGGAAGAACGTGCTGCTGGAAGAAGGTGTTGACCTTTGCGAGGTGGCTGGCTGACAACTGGCTGCAAAGCCTCGATAGTATATATATTGGCGAGCTCCAACTGCCCGACAGCACCGAAAGTACAGGTGGTCGATTCTTCCGTCGACAGGTTGACATGCTGAGCCAAGTGATGACGAAAAGTAGCGACAAACAGCCTCACAAACAAGAGCGAGTCCGGCGGTGCACGCAGATTTTTCTTCTTGCTCGGCTTCCGTGTCGTCTCGTTCGTGAGCCCGTCTGCATGCGCTGCAGCATGTCAGTCGGCGCGATGTCCAGCATGTGTGAGGTCTACCATCCCCATCCGCCACCGTAGCCTCCCCATCCACCGTAGCCACCCCATCCTCCGAAGCCACCCCAGGGACGTCCCCATCCCAAGCCTCCCCACCACTCCTTGGACACCTTGCCTTCCGCACCAATGACGGCAGTAGGCTCTTTTTCCGCAGCTACATCAGCAGCAGCCTCAACAGGATGCGAATGTCGCTCGGTAGGACCCGCTGCCATCGTATCAGTGCTGGGTGTAGCTGGTTCCGATGCAGCAAGGGCTCGGAGCGCCGGCTGGTAGTCAGTAGCTGAGGCGACGCTTGCTACAGCAACTAGCGCGG